GAGTTTTCAACCTATAGACTCGTTTGTTTTTGAGTGCTCTCTTACCCTTAAGCTGTTTCATCAAGTGATAAGTATGATCTCATATAAAGACATTATCTTCTCTTGCATAACTTGCAATTACTCTTCTTTCCTCTCGTGCTTTAGAGACTCACTATAGGATTCTGGTTCTCCTCCATCTATCAACACACATATTCATTAGAATTATATCTGCTAGAAGGTCTCCCTTTTTCGCTAGATCTCCTAAACTCATCTTGTGGTGGTGGTGGAGTTGGTGGTGTCTCTTACTCAAAATCATTAGTAGCAATGTCATTACCATAAATATCCTCTCTTTGTTGCCAACTCCCCCATGATCACAATCAACTGGTTGTGGAAGTGGTTTTGGATCTAGATTTGAACTAGCAGGATTATCATCTGAGAATTTTGGATTGTCACCTTTATCAATATCCTCAATGGTTTGATTTTCAATGAAGACAACATCTCTGCTCCTGATCACCTTCTTTTCAACAGGATCATATACCCTATAGCCAAAATCTTCATACCCATAATCCGAGAAAATACACTATTTTGATTTTACATTAAATTTTGACCTCTCATCTTTGGAAATATGAACAAATGTCCGGCACCAAAAAATTCTCAAGTGTTTAAAGGACACATTTTTCCCTATCCATACTCTCTGTGGGATATTACCATCCAAAGAAACCGATAGAGAAAGATTAATCAAATCAACTGCAGTCCTGATTGTCTCACCCCAAAATGATTTTGGTAGTTTAGCATTAGAGAGCATTCATCTAACCCTTTCAGTAATGGATCTGTTCATCCTTTCTGCTACTCAATTCTCTTGAGGAGTTTTTGGTAGTGTCTTTTCTAGCCTGATCCCATGGGACTTTCAATAACTTTCAAATGATTCCCTATATTCATCACCATTGTCAATACGAGCACACTTTAACTGCTTGCCAGTTTCCCTCTCAACTTTGTTATGAAAATTTTTGAACACATCCAAAACCTGATCTTTGGATTTCAAAGCAAAATACCATATTTTTCTAGCAAAGTCATCAATAAAGTTTACAAAATAAACAACACCACCAAGAGACCTATCTTTCATATAGCAAACATTAATGTGCTTCAATTCTAATGGATTCAATTTTCAAGATGGAAAATTTTTTTTGAAATGCAACTCTGTGTTGTTTCCCATAAACGCAGTCAGTATAAGATTTAAGTGCATTACCTCTAACTTCAGGTAGGAGTTGTTTACGAACAAGTGTCTGAATCCCCTTTCACCCATGTGCCCAAATCTCCTATGCCAAAGGTCAATTGAGGAATCACAAACTGCATTCACTTCTCTCTTCCCTAACTTGGCTTGCATCAAGTAGAGGGTACTCTGCTTCTTTCCTCTGACAACAACAAGATTTTGGGCCTGTTTGGAACCTGAGTTTTTTGGAAGTTTGTCTAAAACTTTACTGTAGTGTACTGTAGAAGTTTTTGAAAAATTTTTGTAAAAATTTTTGTAAGATGAAAAAATTTGTAGAAATTTTTGTAAGGTTTTTTTTCCTTTCTTTTTTTTTTCTTTTTCTCTTTCTCTTTCTTTTTCTTTTTCTTTCTTTCCTTTTTCTTTTTTTTTTTCTTCTTCTTCTTCCCCGTTACCTCCGCCGCCCCCTGCAAAAGCTCCCCCGTCGCTCCCCTCTGCCCGCAACCCCTCCCCCACCCCCTGCAAAAGCTCCCCCTCTCTCTCCCTCTGCCGCCACCCCTCTGCCCGCAACCCCCCTCCCCCACCCCCTGCAAAAGCTCCCCCACTCCAATACTGCCAACGACCTTTCTGCCATTGCACCCTCCAAATCCGCCATTGCGTCCACCACAACCCCAACTGCCCCCGCTTCGACTGCGCCGACTTCCCATATCATGCCACCGCATCTCCACCGTCCGCAACTGCGCGTGGGTTTGGAACGAGTGACTTTTCTAGCAAGTGTAACGCGCCGAGCTTGTCTTCATCCGATCCAGAGCTGAAACGAAGCTCCGCAACGTGAAAAGTTTCTTCCAACTTGGTAGCGGATAGTTGCGGCGGTGGCAGAGAATCATGCGCTTTTCTTGGTGGGGTGGGCTCCGAAATCTTCGGCTTTTCTTGAGTTTGCTGATACGGGTGTATAAAATGGTGAGAGATGGGGGAGTTAGTCAGCGGGAACCTCCATTGGGTGAAGCTCTGAGAGGTGTTTGAGGAAGATGAGGATGATTCTGAATCGGGTTTGGTAGGTGCATGTGGTGGATGAGAGGAAGACGGTGGAGGAGGGAGAGGAGGAGGAGGAGGAGGTGCTGGTGGTGGTGATGTTGGTTTTGGCGGTGGCTGATCAAAGATGGCTGGGAAAGGGAGTGCTGGAGAAGTGGTGGTGGTCGGACTGAGCACTGTTTGAGTACAGTTGCGAAAAAACCCGCAAGAAAAAAGTGGACGTGGGTGCAATTTTTAGCTTGGGGTGTTGAGATTTCATTACCGGCGCCGGAAGCGGTGGTGGAGGTTGTGGCCGGTTGGGTAGGGGAGAAAAAAGAAGAAAAATTGAAGGGAAAGTTTTTTGTGTATTATTTTAAAATGTGTAGGTAAAAAACTTTGATAAGTTTTTTGGGGTTCCTGTAGCAAAAGTTGTTAAAAAACTAGTAGGTAAAAAACTTGGCCAAAAACTTCACTTCCAAACAAGCCCTTTATTTGCTGAGTTTTTATTGCCTCTACCTTGTGAGTTATGGTAACCCTTGTCATCAAGTTTTCTTGTAGAAACAAGATTAGAGCGAATATCAGGAACATGTCGAGCAATTCTTAAGATCAGCTGGTACCTGGTATTTGTGTTCAAATATATGTCTCCCATGCCAACAACTTTGCACGAGAGTTCATTTTCCATCCTAACATAGCCAAAGTCTCCTTTGGTATAGGTTAAGAAGAAATGCCTGTAACGAGTAACATGGTATGAAGCACCTGAATCAACTACCCAATCATTGTAATAACAAATAATATTCATATGGCAATCATCACATAACACAAACATATCATCATGAGTTACTACAATTGCTGTGGTCTCCTCATCATCTTTTTCCTTCGTTTTACCATTTTTCTCAACTTGTTTCCGTTTTAAAATTCTGCACTCATTCATATCATGCCCATTTTTTTTTGCAATAAAAGCATGCAATATGTTTTCACGACTCAGACTTGCCTCTGGATTTGTCATTCCTGTTGTGGAGTCCTCTGCTTTTGCTTCTCTCCCTTCTTTCTTTCTTTTCTATCACTACGGTCTGGGATTCGTTTACAATTTCTTGTTCCTTCCTCCTAAGTTCTTCATTCATTACTGCTTCTTTTGTCATATCCATAGTTAACACACCATTTGGAACTGAATTACTAATAAAGACCACCATTGTCTCCCAACTATCTGGCATTGAACTGAACAATAGCAAAACATGCATCTCATCATCCAAGTTCAAGTTCAATGTAGTTGCTTGGTTTATTAAGCTCAGAAAATTACTGAGATATTCAGTCATATCTGTACCATTTTTGTATCTCATCAGAGTAATTTGTTTCAGACAAGAGACTTTATTTAAATTGGTCTTTCTTTTGTACATTCTAACTTTTTCCAAAGTACATCAGCTTTAATTTCATTAGCAAAGTGCTAAAAAATATTTTGATCAATCCACTTTCTAATATTACCAACAATTTTTCTTTGCATAACAGTCCACTTTTCATCACTCATGTCACTTGGTCTACCCTTATCCCCTAGAACAGATTCAAACAAATCTCTACAATACAGGTAGTATTTCATTCTACATTTTCAAATCGAATAATTAGTTGTATTCAATTTTATCATACAATCACTATCCAAATCATCCATTTTAATCAGTACAAGTGAGTAGCCCAACCTGATAGCTTTGATACCATTTTGTTGGGAAAGGGATACCGTTGTAGGCACATAATATTAGAGTTAACTCAAAACAAATTACTCTTTTCTCAAGTACCAGTTAAAATAGAAATAAACCAAATCACCAAACAACGATGCCAACAATAATAATAAAATGCAGAAAAAATAAAAGACACATGATACCAAGATTTTTACGTGAAAAATCTAAATTGAAAAAAATCACGAGATCTAATCCAGTCAAAATATCTCCACTATTACAATAATGGGAATACACAGGTCTATCCGAAATATTCGGATGACAATAATATCACCAACCAAATTAAATCACTACAAAATTACTTCCAAAACTACAACTGTCAAAGAAGTAGGTTTGAAAAGGTATTACCAAAAGAAGAGGAAATCCAAAATTTGAACAAATAGATGAGTAGAGTTTGACGAGAGGATCATGTGGGTAAAATTTCATCTCAATCGAGTTTCGAATCATCCTCTAATCAAGACCTTAAAGCTATTTCTCTCTCTTTCTCTCTCTCTAGTTTCTCTTCCAATTTCTCTCTCTTTGTTTCTCTCCAAACCAAGACCTTTTTCTTTCTTCGGTTGATGAATGATGCAGCTGAAGTGTTTCTTTTTGTTTCCAAGAATGAAAAGTATTAGTCAATCTAATGGGTTTTGTTTTGTGGGTTGACCTACCAAATGGGCTGGATCACACAAACCCAATAGATTAGAAGGTGGAATGATGAACTTCCAACAATCCAAAACAAACAAGGACCGAAGAATCAATGCTTAATTAAGAGCTGAGAGGTCAAAAATGGAGGAACAACTGAAAAATTTTGAGGATAAAATCAATTCATTGAAGGTAGAAATGGCAAAGCTAAATTGTCACGTGGGGCAGTTTGAGAGTCGCATAGCCACCTTGAAATAAAATGTCAAGAACATGAAGAGTAAGTCAAAAGAATTGATTGTGTTCTTAGCCCGAATATTAGGCCTCTCCTTAGTTAACATGACAATTCAGTGCATGGAGGTAGAACAAGAACCTGGAAGCTATTAGAAAATGAAGGGAAGAAAATTGATTACACCAAAAGGTTTGAAAGCATATCTAAGTCCATAAATGAGGAGTCAATGGCAAGGACCAAGATGATCTGGAGGCAAATGCCTCGGTCAGAACATCAAACGAAAACTGATACCCAAAAACTGTGGAAGGAGTTCACGGAAGATGATTCCATTAGTGAGAATGAATCAGAGCCAGTGCTATCCAAACAACAACTCAAGATTGATAGGGCTTTAGTCTTTCAATGACTTGATGGGATCCAAAATTGTGCATTCAAAGGAACCTTATATGGGTGTGACGGATCAAATTACTTTTGAACTGTGGATAACAATCATCAGTATAATTCTTGCTTGATTTTTCATCTATTCTATTGCACAATGATTTATTATTTTTCCAGTTGCTCAATTGGTAAACACAACCGAGTGAGCTTGAGGTCACTAATTCAATTCTCAAGCCATCCTCCCTTCCCCAATGTAAAGTTTAGAGTCTTCTCTTGAATTAAAAAAAAAAAAAAGAATTGAGGTGAGATAAGCCTAGGAATCGTTTCCCATTTTCCCTACCCCTAATTGCCTAAGCCACTAACCAGGAAAAGAAAAAATGCATTTAACCATTGCCTCGACAAACAAATAGTGATAAGAATAGAAAAATTATTTAGGCGTAGTTTGGATTGAAGACTGGAAGGGACAGGCAAATACATGAGTAGGAGGGATTGGTCGTTTGCATTTAATTGTAATTCTTGAGGAAGGGATGGAAGGTTAGAAAGGAAAGGGTTTAACTATTTTGTCTTAAATTTAGTTTTCGTCAAAAAATATGTGAGTGTACATAAATGAGACACACTTGCAATTAAATTTCTTTTACTGCCTAATTCATAAATTGTGAGGACTTGCAAAATTCCTTATATTTTTCTTAAAAATTCCCTTTTATTTGGAAATTATTACTTTATAACGGCCCTACAACCCAATCGTCCCGTAATAAGTGCAAATGAACATAGAATTAACGGTTTTTCCTTTCGTTTTCAAGTTATCAAAAATTAGGGTTTTTACGCCTATTCATAGTGTGACTATCCGGTACGGAGTGTGTATCCAATTTGGTGATTAAAAGTGAGTTTTAGATGATATTAAGTGTGTGATTATAAGTAATGATAATAAGTTAGTGAATTATAAGATAAAATCCTAGTATACGCGATTTAAGGAAAAACGGCTTGAACCGACGGGTACCGTTCACTACCGATTGAACATACCATTTGACCAACATTTTTAGTAAGTTAATCTCATTGTTATTAGAGCCAAAATATCAACTCTAAAGCTGATCAAGGGGGCCGAAATATTTGACCCAAAAACTCAAGGAAAAGAAAAAAAAATGAGATGTGATCTTGTGTGGGCAAGTGGCATCCATCCAAGGACCTTTGACCCAAACCATGACTAAGCCATAAAACCATCTTGGAGCTTCATTCTTCTTCATTTTTTCAGCTTGTAGCCGTGAGGTTTGAGAGAAAAACAAGAGAAAGAAAGCTCTAAATCCATCTTGGGTTTTGCTTGATTTAGGGAGAAAACAAGAAAACTAAACCGATTAACTTGCAAATTGAGAGCATGGGAAGCTTAGGGAGCTAAAAATCACAAGGAAAGGTGAAGGATAACTCTTCAAGCCCTTTTATTGAGGTATATTGGCTGTCCATCACATTGATTTCCCTTAGTCTTGCTTAAGTTGAGTAATAACTTGTAAACTTGCTTGTGATGCCTACTTCAAGTGATTTTGGATAATTGTGGTGATGAATTTTGAGTTAGGGTTTGAAAGGTTACTTATAATTTTTGTTGTTTGGATGGTATATATGGTGTATATAATCTTGTATAGGAGGTTCTAGTAGCGGTTTAAGCTAGAAAGGTGAAGTTATACCTTGAACTCCTTAAATTCCAGAAATGAAACTCTTCACTGCCCTGTTTTGACTGGTTCTATTTGACCATGAGAGAGGCCAAATTAGGCTTAGCACAAAACATAAAAGTTGTAGAGAATGACTTTTTATAGCTTCCTACAAAATCTCAGCTCAATACGAGCACTGTAGCTTGATAAAACACAAATATACCCCTAACTACCATAGGTAGAGCTTCATGGACAGTTTTGACATTTCACCAATCTGACCGCGTCTGTTCACCCTGATCCATACTAAATTAGCATTTGTTCAAAACACAGAAGTTGTAGTGCTATGTCATAGGTTTTCAAAGGCTCTAAAAACACCTCAATCGGACTTCGGTAGCCTGAGTTATTGTCATTTACGCATAGTATGGTTAACTAGCCTGATTGTGAGATTCTAGTTTTGTAATTTGAAATTTTGACCTAGATAAACTACGAACTGGACTGAGTGATCTGCATCAAAGTTGTAACTCTTTATATTAGCTTCGAAACGGTCTAAATTACACACCAATTCAATAAGCATAGCTTCAGTTGTGTTCGATACGCTAAGCGACGTCAAATCTGTCTTTTGTTTTAGGACTTAAACTTCATTTCTGGACATTTTATTAACTTGATTTTGTACTTGTACGACATTGAGGCTATTGTATGGCTATTGAAATGAAATGATTTTGTGTGCAATTTTGGGACTGATTGAGGAAAAGAATAAAGTTATAAATGGCTGGAAAATAAGTAAATACAAAGGGCGTGCTGGCCAAATTTACGCTTGAGAGCTAGGTCGATATACTTGCGACTTGAGTAAGGGTTGAGGATGAAACTAACTTGGATCATTTAAGGTATTCAAGTTTTCTTTAATAGAGGGTTATCAGTTAGAATTCTGCCGAAACTTATACCCTTGAAAAATGAAATTTACGACTAATAGAAATACGTTTTCTCCATTTCTTCAACTCAAATGGTATTTCAGAGTATAATTGCTTCAAAGTTTCAAAGCTTTAAGAGCGAGCATGAATTTTTTGGAATTTGATAAGTATCATGAATACTACTTAAACGAGTTGCATTTACTTGCTTTTCTTGAAGCGAAACTCCTATGTTTTGATCTCTACAGAGTTTTACAATCGCAAATGATATTTTATCGCAGATTTGGACTCCAACCAAGGAGTTGGACCTAAACGTGACTTTTGAGAAGTACTAGACCTTTGATGAGTGCTTCCAAATACCTGATTGAACTAGACACTTGTTTTCAATATTTGACTAATGTGATTTAATGATATGTCATTTGTTTGATCGGGCAAGAATGTACTTTATCGCATTTGCCCAAATATGAGATATACTTGTTTATTGTTGCAATGAATTTGATATATTTGTGTATATGGTGCACACTTCATGGAATTTCAGAAACCCTATGGTGAGTTACTCGAGTCGAGCCGGCAAGGGTTTGGTCGATTGGGTAACGAACCCTGGATCTTTTGTTTTGTCGAGTAGAGTGATATCTCCTCGACTAATCGGTATACTCGAGTATTATCACCAGTGTTTATTGAGGATTTTGGGCCCAGTAGGGGGTTTGGATGGTGGACGGAGAGTAGTTTATGTGGTGCTCTATTGGATTGGTTACTTACTTGAAAGTTGACGGAGTGTCAACTATTACTTGATCAAGCTCTGGTGATGCAATGGAAATTTGACTCTTGAGAGCCATCCGTATCCTTATACTTTGGAATGATTAGTACTTATTGTGTTATTGTTTCGTTTTAAAAGAAACCTTTACGCTCGTTCATTTTGAGATTTGCTAATTAAAGTGTTATTGCCCACTTTTATAAACTTTCATGCTCATTACTTTGCTACATTGAAACTTGTACTTGTAAACAATGGTCGATTTGGTATTTGGAACCTCACTGGATTTTTAGCTTATTCTACGTCATTTGTTTCTTTACAGGGGATACGAGCGAGGTGTGAGACGTGTACAGACTAGCGTAGTCTAATTGTTTTAAATTTTAAATTTGTACTCATGCTAGTACCCGACCAGGGTTGATTGTACACTACAAGAAAATTGGTCATCAGTGACAACTTTTCTCTGTGACGAAACAAAGTTGTCACAAAAGGGGATCCTTTATTGACGACTTTCTAACTCGTCACAAACCTCTAATGGGAGCCAACTCATTTGTGACGACTTAGAAAAGTTGTCACTAATAAATTCCCGCCAAGATTTAGCAAGAGCGCGGGAGTGTTTAGAACACACAATAGTGACGACATTAAGAACATCATCACTATTGCTTGGCCTATTTACGGACGACTTTTTGTTGTCGTCACTGATCACCAAAAAAAAAAGTTATTAGTGACAACATTTTTTATTGTCATCACAAAAGGAGCTTCTTTAGTCGCGACACTTAAAGTTGTCACAATTACATCAAAGCAACTAAATATTTAGTGACGACCCGTTATTTTCGTCACAAACTACACTGCAAGAAATATGGTCATTAGTGACAACATTTTTTAGTGATGACAAAAGTCATCACAAAACGTGGTTTTTTAGTAACGACAAGTATAGTTGTCATAATTGCTCAAAGCAACTAAGTCTTCAGTGACGACCTTGAAAAACATTGTCACTAAAATGATCTATATAGTGACAACTTGTAATATCGTCACTGTCACTCTACCGATTCGGATTTAGTGACAAGAATTAATCGTCACTGTTTAAAGTACTTATTTCTAAGTCACTTTCAATAATTCTACTGTGCCACCCTAACTTTTGCGATGTAGTCCCAAATGTTGTAAAAAATTCCATTCATTCCATTATGATACCTTAACTTTTACAATTTAGCCCCATATGTAGTACACCGATTTCTTTAATTCTATTATTACTCCCTAACTTTTGTAATTTAGCCCCATATGTAATTCACCAATTTCATTAATTCTACTATGGCACTCTAACTTTTGCAATTTAACCCCCATATGTAATACACCAATTTTATTATTTCTATTATGGCACCCTAGCTTTTACAATTTAGCCCCTATTTTTTATTAGGAAATTGCGAATGGTATCTTGATAAACTATGCATAAATATTTTATAATTTTCTCAAACTTAAGTAATAATTTGTTATAAACTCTAAAGATATATCTTTCATTACAATAGTTATAAGGCAGGCAGGTCCTTTTATCAATGGAATAAGAAATTTATGCCAGATTTATCCTTTGTACTACATGCCAAGTAGTATTAGCAAAGGAATAACAAAGTACTACAAAGTAATTAACAAAATAGCCTTCAGGGAGTGTAGTTTATGGGCAAATGAGTATTATCTATTCAAAGTACCAACTTTTTATGGGCATTTTATTCTCAAACATATAATTTATGATAAATTTATAAATGTTTGCAAGTAAAATTCAAAAAGTGTTACACTGATTTCTTACAAAACGAAAACTGGCAGGTTATCTTTTCAACATAAATTAAATTTTTTTAAAAAAAGAAATGGCCCATAAAGTACCAACTCTTTGTGGGTTTCCTCCATTACATGAACAAATATTCTGCTCTTTATGGGCATTTCACTCTGAATCATTTAATTTATGTTAAATACATAAATGTTTGTAAGTAAAATTCAAAAAAGTGTTGCACTAATATTTTTATGAAAGGGAAACTGGTAGGTTTTGTATTTAACATAAATTAAATATGTGAAAGCAAAAAAAAAAAAAGAAATTACCCATAAATCTATGTCTTGCAAATCTATACTAGTAAAATAGTTTCAAACAAAATTAAACATTAAAATAAACTGTAATTTATACACATTAAAATATCTGTAATTTATACACATTTTGCAACTACTACTTTGTGTTTTCTCTGTAATGAATTTTTTAACTATTGAGAACTTAAGTTTTGTCATGCAAATCTATACTAGTATAATAGTTTTAAACAAAATTAAACATTAAAATAAATGTTTAAAAAAGAACAAAAGTACATTTATCACTTGCAGTAATGTAACAAAAATTTCTCAACCATTATCAATATTTTCACAAAAGGATTAAAAACTAGCAATTGACAATATTAAAAACTAGCAATTTAATTAGTGACGACTTTTCTTGTCATTATAATCTTGAATAAATTAGTGATAACATTATGTCATCACTAAATTTTCTTTGATTTTGACTTAACAATAATGTCTTATTAATAGCATTTGATTATTTTTAATGAAAGTCTGTTATAACCATAGAATTTGACTTTCGTTATTTTCAATTAATGATGTACTTTAGTGTTGGAATTATAAAAAATTGCAGGGCTAAAACATTTGCAAATTATAAAAGTATATTTTCACTTATATGTAATTAACAAATTTTGCCACCTATATTGAAGAAAATTTGTGTTTTTGTACTAAAAAATAAAGAATAATACTATAGCAAGAAAATCTATGCTTCAAACCAAATTAAAAATAAAAAAAGCATGATGATCGGTCTCAAATGTTGGGAAAATGATTATTTTTATTGAAACTATGTTATAACCATATAATTTGAGTTTAATTATTTTCAATTACAAGATGTTCTTTAGTGCTGCAATTATAAGAAATTAGTATAAAATATTAGCAAATTATAAAAGTACATTTTCAATTATATGAAATTAACAATTTTTGCCACCTATGTTGATGAAAATTTTTATTTTTTGCTAAAAAATAAAGAATAATACTATAGCATTAAAATCTATGGTTCAAACCATATTACAAATCTAGAAAAAAACATGATTTTTGGTATCAAATGGAGGGAAAATGAGTGAAATCAAAATTTTGATCAAATCATAGTGAAAGTGCCGCGCAACAAAAACAATATCCAAAGCAAGACCAAAGCAATATCCAAAGCAACGGAACACTTGAGACAAACCTTCACCGAGCTGAAGTAAACAAAAGCTTCTGCACTAAGCACCAAAACAGAGCTTCCGTACTGAGCACAAAACAGAGCTTCCGCACGGCCTGATACTTTCACCCACACTTCTCTGGCTTCTCACTAGCATCACCATGGCTGTCCAGCATTAAAGTACAAGGTTTTCAGGTGGAAAGGTTCGTTTTCTCTCTCCTATACATTTTCCCCAATTTTTCCAAATCCCTAATATGTAAGATCCTTTTTGTTATCGCTACTGAGTCGCCTGGATTAAGCTGTGTAGCTACTTGTTTTAGCTTCAATATTTCGGGTTATCTGACCACAGGTTAGGGTAGTTTAGGATGGTCCGAGGAGCCAGTGCTCCTTATTTTCTGGAATGCATTAAAGAGGGAGGAGACAGAATTGTTGAAAATTGGAATGGAAGCCTATGTTGGGCATTCCGAGAGAAGGGATCGAGTTTTGTTTAAATAACTGGCCAATTAGGTGAGTAGTTCAAGGTTATTTCATTGACAGCGCAATTAATTTTTGTAGGCTTACCCAGTAAGCGAAGTTTTGAGCTTCCATGGTTTTGGTTTGCTGTCGTTGGAAATACTGATATATTAAATTTTTGTGGCCCTATTGCTAATTACGTAATACATGTCTTGGTTGAGAGTTAGGTGTAACCGTGACCAAAATCTTTTTCGTTTTCTTGGGTATATACCCCCTTATCCGATAAGGTTGCCATGAAAGGGGACAGAAATTGAGGGAATGGACGAAGAATCATTTATGTCCACTGCCCAGTTCTTGTGAATTAGCAGCAACCAAGACTCTAGTCTCAGTGGGTCTATTTTGTCTAATATTTTCAGTTGCATTGCAATAAATTCTGGTATTGTTTTTTTAAAAAGAAAATTCTGGTTTTTGTATATAGGGATCGAAGGGTTAAATTAACACCCTATATCTGAAATCTGCACTTTTGATGGCTTAATAAGTAGCATAGTTATATTGATTATGTACAGCATTAATCCTCCGAAGTGGAGCATAAGCTATGGATTTAGTTGACAAATTGATAAAGTCAAATCGGTCATATTTTATTCAAGTATAATTCTCAGAAGTATGCATGTTAAACAGTGTATATATTTATTCTTTTCCCAAAAATACCAGTTAGGATGATCAAGAAAAAAATGAACCAGCAATCTAATTTTTGTTCTTTTCTAAAAATCACTGAAGAAATAGATAAGCTAACAATCTAATTTTTCTACAATAAGTTTAACGTTTTGCTTTTGAATAAATGGTCCTCGTTTGATTACTCTAACATTTAAGTGGCACTAGACTATTAAACCACTCTATGGAGATATTAGATATACATATTCTACAACATTTTTAATCCTGGCTGTCCTACATATTATCACATCACTAAATGACTTTCTGATCTTAGCCGGTGACCACAATTTCATTTAGCTATGGTTTGTTTCTCAATTTACTTGACCGAGCTCAGGTAGGACATTAGGAACTGTGATGAGTCAATTTCAGGCTAATTGTAAAGCGCATAGCCATCAGTGGAAGCTTTAAGGACTTTCACTAACCTGGAATTGGATGTTCTCATATTTAGTTCAAAGTCACGTATTCCTTAAAAGATATGAGCAATTTGAATAGGTTACTGTGGGTTATAATATCTGAATACAATTCTTAAGATGTTGACAGTGTTATCTGTTTGCATTAATTCTTGGTTGTCTATCATAACAGGTTGAAATTGCTAAGGCCTATGAAAAGGTGGAGCAGCATGCCTCAGTGTATTAACAGACCAGAAATACTTTCAAGTAAGGATTTAAACTCTTCAGTCATTTGGTGACTTTTTTCTTCAGGGTCATATAAGCCTGTCTCTGCAAGTCAATGTATTTGTTTTTAAGTTAATTCTTACTGCTAATTATCATCACTACTTTTTTGTTTCTGTGCTCCATAAAATAAGGGAGGCTTTGAGAATTTGGAGAAGATAAGGAATTCAGGAGTGAAGGTATTTTTTTTCTTCTTGATGCATATTTCTGCTGAATATTAGCTCGAAGTATTATTTTTGAAAGTGATTGCTGAAACAATTTACATGTGCAGTGCCCTTTGTTATGCAAAAAGTTTGTTATAGATGCTTGGCAAATATACTATGCTCGCACAAAAGGCGCAGATGCAATCCTGTTAATTGCTGCTGTTTTACCAGATCTTGATATCAAATACATGACTAAGATCTGCAAATTGCTTGGTTTAACACCACTTGTGGAGGTATGGTTATTGTTTTCTTCTTTCTTTCCTTTTGCTGTCTTAACAATTAATAGAACTCAATTCCCTCCTCACTTTTAGTGTTAGATTTAGGACGTTTAAGTCAGGGTAATTTTCATTTTCTTGTTTGTGATTTGTACAAAAATCGGAATATCAACAAAAATCTGTAATGATATCTCAAGTTTGTTTTTCGTCTTCTTCATGAAGAAAAAATTTCTTTTTTAAACATATGTAGGTTAGTGGTCCTTCTGTTCTCATGAAGGCTGTCTAATAATTATCTTGGTACTTTACTTGAAGCAATTTTGGTTTTATTTTTTCCTGATTTTGGTTTTATTTTGTTTTTCTTGTCAAGTAAAAAGTTTGAAGTATCAATGATTTTGACCTTTGTTTGTCATATCTCATTTTTTAGGTACATGATGAGAGGGAGATGGGTCGTGTTCTTGGGATTGATGGGATTGAACTTATTGGAATAAACAACCGTAACCTCGGTATGTTTCTAAAGAAAATTCTATATCGATCATTTAAATCTTCTCCTTCTTGATTGTGCATTTAAAGTTTGATACCTTGATATTTTGATTCTGAAGCTGCTATCGAGTTTACATTCGATTGTAGCTGTATTTGGACAAAAATTAGTTCCTTGTATTCTTACTAACATCGATGAGAAGGCCTACATATTTTCAAGTAGCTAATCATTTGCTGAAGTGTATATCATTTGCACTGTGATGCTATAAATAATAATACCAGCAAATTAATTCTGTTATGACAATCCCCTACTTCCCTTTTTTTTTTTTTAAACTTTCTAGGAATTAACTTCTTTGACATATTTCCGCACGGCACCAATTGCTAGATGCCAAAATCTGGTGCTGGATACTCTTCCTAGTTATATCTCGTCTTGCTTAGTGCTGATATTCAATATGGTTGCATGATATAACCTTTTTCTCTTAGAATGGTAGTTCGTAAACAGTCAGTCAGGAAAAAATGAGTTAGGTAACCATGGGTAAAGGTGCTCATCTTGAGGATGGGTGAGTGGAAACAAGCTATAAATCCGAAAAGAACAAGGATGAAGATGATAAAAAATGCACAACCTAGAAAAATGTTAAAAGAGCAATGAGTAGCTTACAGAATCAGTACAAGTCATTTGTTGGAGTCTTGCAAGTTAATTTAGCTTTGTCTATCTGCAGAAACATTTAAGGTTGACATCAGCAATACTAAAAATCTTCTTCAAGGAGAACGTGGGAGAATAATCCGAGAAAGAGGCATAATTGTGAGTATCCTATTTCTGCACTTTTCTCATGCCCTTTAAGATTTCTCCTTCTTTGTTAAATTGTTGACAGAGGCACATGACTGCCTCACATATTATTTTGTCTAATCACCAATGTATTCATTTTCCTGTCTTCAAAATCTTTAGGTCATTGGTGAGTCTGGACTTTTTACACCTGCTGATATTGCATACGTGCAAGAAGCTGGCGTCAAAGCGGTATGTTATGAATGTTTTGTAGGAAAGTTGTGTACTTTTTCTACTTCCACAATCATTTCCCATTCCCTTGAATGTATGAGAAGGGGCAGGAAAAGCTGCAAGCAGGCATCGATTCTAGTTGTAAACAATAATTACTGTGGGAGTCCAATTTAATTGTTCAATAAGTTGAGCTATTTAAAGAAGAAGAAAGAAAATAAAAAAAAACTGTTTTAGAGAGCTCTTTTGTTGAGCTTATGCAGTGTTGTATTTGTATAGATTGGACTGTGATTTCTAACTTCTTGCTGGTGTTGTAATATGTGGGCCCAAATTATATGAGGTTCTTAATGAATTGTAATTTTTGTCTTAATAATCTAAGTCCCATTACTTGTTCTTTATTATTGTACTCCTCCCCTTACCTACTTCTTTTACTCTTTTATGACAGATAAATGCTATTCATACTAGCTTTTGGAAGATATCTATGGTTATGGTTGAAGAATGTTGAAGACAAAATTGCCTTTTGCTCATGGAGTGGTTCATTTAGATGTTTTTCAATTTCTTAAACTGTGATTGCTTTTGTAAATGTACCTTATGTACAAGTGATATTTTGGACAAATGTTATTTTTGTAGGCATTAGTTGGGTAATGTACACTTGAATTTGGCATTTGAGACTGCTATATTATTAACATGTAATCTAATGCAAATACTTTTGGTTATCAATCGTTCATGTTTATTTGTATGGTTTGTTTAAAATCAATGATTTAGCAATGATTACAGGCTAAATTATGACTATTAAGCTATTGAGAAATTATCTAATAACAAAAAAAAGTTGTCACAAAATAGAAAATAAAAACTCCTTGTCACAACAGAGATTGTCATTAAATCTAAGCGACATTTGTGACAACAATTGTTGTCAGTAAAATAGTTATATACAATGGCTTTCGGTGCTTTTTAGTGATGACTTTAAATAGAGCATTTTTGACAAAAGATCAAGTCGTCAATAAAACACTTCCGGATTGTCGTCACTAATGACCACTATTTAGTGACGACAATCAGGTCGTCACTAAATAGTTGTCATTAGTGACGACAATCTGAAAGTGTTTTATTGACGACTTGATCTTTTGTCAAAAATACTCTACTTAAAGTCGTCACTAATGACAACTATTTAGTGACGACATTTTAGGTCGTCACTGTTTACTTTTACCGACGGGGATTTAGTGACGACTTTGTGACGATCAAAAAGTCGTCAATATAAGGTATTTGTGACGATATTTGTATGTTCTGTAATGACTTTGTGTTGTCACTGATGAACAATTTTCTTGTAGTGGTACTTGAATTGTAAACACTTTGAAGTATTTTGGTGTGTAGAAGTTTTGTATCTGGATTTAAGCATCAATGTATATATTAAGTTGGAGTGGATGTGTTATTTATTTTCTATGGATGTACGTTATTTTTCTTGATTTATGAGTGAGTGAGTCCTGGCGATAACTGGACAAGCGACCCGCCGAACCCTAGGGGGAGGTGGGGCCGTCACAAATGGTATCAGAGCTCCTATCGAGCTCGTGCCTGGGGAGGGTTCTCGGACTGTGGGGATTTGCTTGTTAAGTGTGGAAAAAATGTTTATTGTTGGGGACCTTAGATATGTATGTTGGGTAGGAATCTCAAAAGTAGTTGATTTCCTCTTGAGCGTAGCTAACTCGAGCGGGGAATGATCATATTTTCTGATTCTTGTACCCGAATACCAAAGAGTGATATCTTTATGATAAGTCGATATTCCGAGTAATATGAGAATAAGTTTGAATGGCCAAAACCAAGGCACTGGGGATGTGAATAGTCTGGACTTAGGATATATTGAAGATATTAGTGAGATTGGGAACCCTTATTCTTTACGCGTACGTATTTGGTTGTACTTCGTCAAGTCTTGATTAAGTGTGGTGTTTGAGCAATACCTAGGGTTCATGTCCCATAGGATGTGTGAATTGCTATGATATGTATATAAAGAAGTATGTTATTTTCAATGTGATTTATTAGTTCTCATTTTATGATTTGAAAATGCTTTTATTGGCCTTTATAGTTACGTTATTTTGCTTATATTTATACTTATATAGGAAAAGAGGTATAGAGGGTAGACGGAGTCAAGGACGTGGAACTACCCGAGGACGCGGTTCTACCCGTGGCTGTGGGCTAGACAGGCACAAGAACCAATACGGGAACTGAGAGAGGAGAGAGGTGAAATGGTTGAACCACAGCTTGGACCCCGAGCTGAAGGGGGGAACCAGGTAGCAACAGTAATTCAGCAAATGACCAATATACTTGCTCGACTGGTAGAACAGCAGGGTCAAACCCCTGTTAATCAACCCAGGGATCCTGAAATGGGACAAGATAGAGCTCTAGAGAGATTCCAAAAATTCTCTCCTCCTAAGTTTTTGGGAGGGCCGGACCCTGAGGTAGCTGAGCGGTGGTTAGAGTCGATGATCAATATTTTCGCTGTCTTAAACTATACGGAGGATGGGCAAGTGCATTTCGCTGTATTTCAGTTCGAAGGACCAGCTAGAGCCTGGTGGAATGTGATTCGGGCTAAATGGGAGAGAGAGGGAACTGCCTGGACCTGGTTAAATTTCGTGCGGGAGTTTAACGAGAAATATCTGCCGCCGATAGTTCAGGAGAAGAGGGAGGGCGATTTTATTAAGTTTCATCAAGGAACTCTGAGTGTATTTGAGTATGAGACTCAATTCACGAAACTATCTAAGTTTGCTCTCGAATTGATATCTGCGGAGCAAAGGAGGGTAAGAAGGTTTGTCTAGGGACTAAATATGGAAATACAGGAGGTTTTGGCGGCGGCGCAAATTAATACTTTTACGAAGGTTTTGGAAAAAACCCAAAGGATAGAAATTGATAGAGCACAAGTGAGGGTTTTTCATGTAAAAAGGAGAGGTATGCCTGGTGGAAGTCAAGGGCAGGGACAAGACGATCTAGCTATGCCACCCTCTAAGGTGGGTCGAGGGAATGGTGGTAGGCAAATTTCGGGGACACCTAAGGAAATTACTGCAAGCGGAGCCTCGAGTGGAAAGACACAAGCAAGAGGCGCCTCGCAAGGAGGTCAGACCTCAGCACCTCGAGTATCTTGTGGGTACTGTGGAAAGACCAATCGTACTGAGGATGATTGTTGGCGAAATGCACGAAAATGTTTATGGTGTGGTAGTGCCGAGCACCAACTTGCAACTTGCCCCCGTAGGTCACACCTAAACCTTGAACAAGCAAATGTAGGAGGGACTAAGCCAATGGTACCAGCTAGAGTGTACGCCTTGGACCAACAGGCAGTACCTGAACCATTGGAGGTAGTAGAAGGTACGAATCGTATTTTCTATTGTTTAGCTAAATTGTGGCTATGGTGAGACTTGGGAGCTAGAAACGGATATACAAGGAAAATACCCTAAGTTGTTTATGACTAAAGGTATGAATTTCGAGGTCGAAATTCTCTTAAGGCAGAGAGATTGTGAGAACTTGCAAAATTCCTTATATTTTTCTAAAAAATTTCCTTTTATTTGGAAATTATTACTTTATAATGGCCCTACTACCCAATCACCCCGCAATAGTGCAAATGAACATAGAATTAAGGGTTTTTCCTTTCGTTTTCAAGTTATCAAAAATTAGGGTTTTTATGCCTATCCGTAGTGTGACTATTCGGTACGGAGTGTGTATCCAATTTGGTGATTAAAAGTGAGTTTTAGATGATATTAAGTGTGTGATTATAAGTAATAATAATAAGTTAGTGAATTATAAGATAAAACCCTAGTATACATGATTTAAGGAAAAACGGCTTGAACCGACGGGTACCGTTCACTGCCGATTGAACATACCATTTGACCAACATTTTTAGCAATTTAATCTCATTGTTATTAGAGCCAAAATATCAACTCTAAAGCTGATCAAGGGGGCCAAAATATTTGACCCAAAAACTCAAGGAAAAGAAAAAAAAAGTGAGATGTGATCTTGTGTGGGCAAGTGGCATCCATCCAAGGACCTTTGACCCAAACCATGACTAAGCCATAAAACCATCTTGGAGTTTCATTCTTCTTCATTTTTTCAGCTTGTAGCCGTGAGGTTTGAGAGAAAAACAAGAGAAAGAAAGCTTTAAATCCATCTTGGGTTTTGCTTGATTTAGGGAGAAAACAAGAAAACTAAACCGATTAACTTGCAAATTGAGAGCATGGGAAGCTTAAGTAGCTAAAAATCACAAGGAAATGTGAAGGATAACTCTTCAAGCCCTTTTATTGAGGTATATTGGTTGTCCATCACATTTATTTCCCTTAGTCTTGCTTAAGTTGAGTAGTAACTTGTAATCTTGCTTGTGATGCCTATTTCAAGTGATTTTGGATGATTGTGGTGATAAATTTTGAGTTAGGGTTTGAATGGTTACTTATAATTTTTGTTGTTTGGATGGTATATATGGTGTATATAATCTTGTATAGGAGGTTGTAGTAGTGGTTTAAGCTAGAAAGGTGAAGTTATACCTTGAACTCCTTAAATTCCAGAAATGAAACTCTTCACTGCCCTGTTTTGACCGATTCTGTTTGACCATGAGAGTGGCCAAATTAGGCTTAGCACAAAACATAAAAGTTGTAGAGAATGACTTTTTATAGCTTCCTACAAAATTTCAGCTCAATCCGAGCACTGTAGCTTGAGAAACGACAAATATACCCCTGACTGCCATAGGTAGAGCTTCATGAACAGTTTTGATATTTCACCAATCTGACCGCGTCTGTTCACCCTGATCCATACTAAATTAGCCTTTGTCCAAAACATAGAAGTTGTAGTGCTATGTCATAGGTTTTTAACGTTTTTAACGGCCCTAAAAACGCCTCAATCGGACTTCGGTAGCCTGAGTTATTGTCATTTATGCATAGTACGGTTAACTAGCCTGATTGTGAGATTCTGGTTTTGTAATGTGAAATTTTGACCTAGATACACTACGAATTGGACTGAGTGATCTGCATTAAAGTTGTAGCCCTTTATCTTAGTTTCACAATGGTATAAAGTGCACACCAAGTCGATAAACGTAGCTTTGGTTGTGTTCGATACGCTAAGCGACGTCAAATCTATCTTTTGTTTTAGGACTTAAACTTCATTTCCGGACATTTTCCTAACTTGATTTTGTACTTGTACGACATTGAGCCTATTGAACGGCTATTGAAATGACATGATTTTGTGTGTGACTTTGGGACTGATTGAGAAAAAGAATGAAGCCATAAATGGTTGGAAAATAGGTAAATACAAAGGGCGTGCTGCCCAAATTTACGCTCGAAGGCTAGGTCGATATACTTGCGACTTGAGTAAGGGTTGAGGATGAAACTAACTTGGATCATTTAAGGTATTCAAGTTTTCTTTAATAGAGGGTTATCAGTTAGAATTCGGCCGAAACTTGTACCCTTGAAAAATGAAATTTACGACTAATAGAAATACGTTTTCTCCATTTCTTCGACTCAAATGGTATTTCAGAATATAATTGCTTCAAAGTTTCAAAGGTTTAAGAGCGAGCATGAATTTTTTGGAATTTGATAAGTATCATGAATACTACTTAAACGAGTTGCATTTACTTGCTTTTCTTGAAGCGAAACTCCTATGTTTTGACCTCTAGAGAGTTTTACATTCGCAAATGATATTTTATCGCAGATTTGGACTCCAACCAAGGAGTTGGACCTGAACGTGACTTTTGAGAG